GGCTTTTTAGAGGAAAGGGAAGACCCTATGGACAACTGGTCTTTGAGATGTGTGTTAAACCCATTTAATGAGGAAAGAATAGTTTCTTTAACACATGGTGCTGTTTCCACGAGGATTTCCACATGGAAAAGAAGGAAACTGGACCCACAGTACATAAAAAAACTCAAAATGGACCAACACACTATCAGAACTAAAACGCTTATAGGGCACTCTAGTGGCCTTGTGGCAAGAAGCTGTGCTGCAATCCCAAAGGTATGTGGTTTGAATCCAACAGATACCTCAATAGAGAAGGAAGGGCAATCTCCTCCTCTGCCAATCATATCCAACTCGACGGTAAACAAGGGGAAAAAAAACCAAAAACAAAAAAACCCTAAAACACTAAGAAGAAAATAGTGGGGTACTGTTGTTTTGGGGTCATTTTTTGACCATGGATTCTTACATAAGACCTAAAGTAAGAACAACAAAAATTAAAATAAATAAGGTGGACTTTTCCCCACTTCCATCTTGAGACCAGAACTACATGTCTCCACATGCACTACTGATAGTTCTGATCAGAAACACTGGCAATGACTCCTGAGGGGAAAAGAGAAATGCGGACAGAATTTCAAATTCTTAAGGAATCCTGTCTTACTGGACTGAAGGAGCCTGGAAGAGGCCCTTCCCTGAAGCTATGACCCTGAGTTGTTTTTCAAGTCTTGAAATTATACCCTGAAGTCACTTTAGATCAAATTAATATCTTAGTCCAAAGAGTTGAGACTAATGCCTATAAATTTTTTGTGGTTGTTTTTTAATTATCTAAGACCACTGGACAATATAAACAAGGAAGATAGAAGAATCAATGTCTTTGAATTGTAGAGGTGGAGAAGAGTATTGAATATACTACAGACTGCCAAAAGAACAGGCAAATCTGTGTTACAGGAAGTTCAACCAGAGTTTGAGGTAACCGAGTTGAGGCAACTAGAGTTAGAGGCAAGGATGGTAAAAATTCACCTTACATACTTTAGGCTTGTTGTCAGAAGGGGCTGGTCCTTGGAAAAAGGTATCATGCTGAAAAAGGTAAAAAAGGTCAGCAAAAGAGGAAGAACCTCAATGAGACAGCCTGACACTGACTACAAAGAATGGGCTTGAGGCATGAGCGAGCATGATGATGGAGCAGGGCAAGGTTCTGCTCAGTTGTTTAGAGTCAGAGTCGATTCAACGGTACCGAACATGTAAGACTAAAGGGTCAACAGCTATTAGAATACATGCATGGAGAGATGGGAGAACAAGAAGTTTAAGTAGAACAATGAAATAAAGAGTAGAAATAAAGAAAACTCAGCATAAGAATAATAATGTATCCAATGTCACTGACAATTATGTCTAGATTCTGTGAAACAGACACAGGTTGCTGTGCATATTTTCACTAAAAAATTAAATTAAAAAAACCTAAACCCATGTGCATCAAAAAAGGTCCTGCTGGTGCAGTCAACAATTAAGTCAACACTAGGGTGCTAACCAAAAAACTGGCAATTCTAACTCAGTATCCCTATACAACAATAACCCCTATTCTAGGAAACTCTGGCGGCCTAGTGGGAAGAAGCTGCGTTGCAATCCCAAAGGCATGTGGTTTGAATCCACCAGCTGCTCTGTGAGAGGATGGGCAATCTCCTCCCATGTGATTAAAACTGCCTGTGAAAACCCCCTCAAGGGCCAGGTATGGGTCAGTGGCTCCGACTTGAAGGTACATAACAGCAATAACCCCTACTCTGTGGGTCAATGAAGAGTCAGCCTGTGCCTGAAAAGATTTATAACCCCAGAAACATTAGGAGGCCCTTCTACTCTGTTCTATAGAAGTACTCTCAGTCCAAACCGACTAAGCAGTGGATCTGGTTTTGTTTTGGGAGCATCAAAGGACTTTAACCACAAGGTGAAGGGATAACCTAGAGGCTGGGAGTAAATATAAGGAATCATGTATCAGAAAAGGGTTTACTATCCAGAACACACAAAAAGCTACAACTTAGCAGGAAAAAAAAAATTACAAATAATCCAATCAAAATATGGGCAAAGATCTGGAACAGACATTTGACCAATGAAGATCTTGAAGCAAATGAAAACATGTTCAATGGAAATTGAACACAATTCAATGGGAAAACACAAAACAAAACCACAATGAAATACTATTTCACACTTGTGAGGACATAATAACTGCAACAAGAGGCTTAAGCACAACAGAGATTGTGCGGGTGGCAAAGAATTGGACAAGGACCTGTTTTACACAGAATCAAATAAGTCAACTCAGTGGCACCTAACAAGGACAGAGATGGCTTGAAAAACAAACTAAGTGTTGCTGACAGTGTGGAGGAATTGGAACACTCATCCTTTGCTGGTGGGAATAAAATATGGTGCAGCCAACTGTGGAAAATAATCTGGCAGCTCCTTAAGTACAGAATTACCATGTTGTTGTTAGGTGTCATCAAGCCAACTATAACTTAGAGTGACTCTATGAATGAGGAATCTGAACCCCGTCCTCTCCTGCACCATCCTCTTCATCTCTGCCACCCTTGAGCCCATTGATAGTCACTATGTCAATCCATTTATCTTGTTTAAGGTCTTCCTCTCCTTCACTGACCTTCCACTTTTATGAGCATGATAACCTTTTCCAAGAACTAGCTCCTCCTCACAATATGCCCAAGTATGTGAGATGGCATTTCACCATCCTTCCCTACAAAAAAGTACCCAGTAATTCCATTCTTAGGAATAGATCCAAAAGATTTGAAAGCAGAGACTCAGATATTTGTATATTTGCAACACTAGTCACAATATAGCCAAAAAGCAGAAACAATCTAAATGTTCAACCACAAATGAAAGGACAAACAAATGTGGTCTATCCACACAATGGAATACTACTCGGCTATAAAGAAAATGCAATGAACCTGGCAACATTTTTCCAAATGAAGTAAGTTAATTTGAAAAAGAAAAAGCAACTATGAGATCTCACCCCAGTCAGAATAGCAAAATTTAATAGAACAGCAAGCAACAAATGCTGGCAAGGTTGTGGAGAAACTGGAACCCTTATTCATTGTTGGTGGAAATGGTGCAACCACTGTGGAAAGTGGTGTGGCGCTTTCTCAAAAAGTTACAAATAGAGATACCATTTGACCCAGCAATTCCACTATGAGAAATATACCCTAAAGAGACCATAACAGACATCGAAGCAGATATATGCACACCATGCTTACTGTGGCTTTGTTCACAATAGCAAGGAGCTGGAAACAGCCTAAGTACCCATCAACAAATGAATAATAGAGAAGCGGTGGTATATTCACACAATGGAATACTATGCTGCATTGAAAAACAAGGAACTCATGCAATATTATTCAAAATGGGTGACCCTGGAGGACATTATCCTGAGTAAAATATCTCAGTCACAAAAGGACAAATACTGCATAGTGCCACTGTTGTTGAATGGGACTGATATCAGGGTTGGGGTAAGACTGAGAAAAACTGGATAGATTATGTATAGGAACTGAAACAGATGAGGGAGAGAACAGTTTAAAAGCGATATATGATAGGGTATTATTATCACCGGAATCCAGAATTAAGGTTGCATAGGAGTGCATTGGGGCAGAGGCTGGGGGACTGCATAACAACTAAGCTTATCTTTTGCTTTTCAAAGAGAGGAATGAATTGGGGGGGAGGTAGATAAAAAAGTGCAACAATGAATGAATGGAAATTCAAAATCTCTGTAAATGTTCATTAAAATTAATAAAATAATTTTTTAAAAAAGCACAAATATTGTTAAATCCAACTTCCACGAAATACCCAAAATTTGGCAAACATAGAAACGAAAAGCTCTGGTGGGCTTAGTGGTAAAGAATTACGCTGCCCACCCAAAGGCACATAATTCAAATCCATCTACAGCTCTGTGGGAGAAGGATGATAAGGTTATCTTCTGCCTCTGAAAACCCTCAGAAGGGTCAACTATGGGTGGGTATAGAACAGTAATCAACAACAAGATACCAAAGTTCATTAGTCTTTCAGGAGTAGGAAGGAGGGAAAGTCAATTGCTTAGGGGCATTACAAGATTCTGTTAAAGGGGGTGGAAAAATGTTTAGAATGAGAATTTCACTGTCTATACATAAAAAAAATGTTAAAATGCCAAATGTTTTCTTCTATATGTATTTCTACCACAGTTTTGGGGTTTTTTAAAATCAAAACATTTTCCCCTAAAAAAAGGGAAAAGATAAGAGAGGGGCAGAGAGTTAACATCTGTTAGTTCTAGAAAGCAAATGTGCACATTTCTTTGGTTCTTTCGACTTTCCTGTCATTTTTTAAGCATTTAAAAAGAAAAAAAAGAAGAAACTCGTTTAGCACTATTTTAAATATCCTTAATTTTTCATTTATTTACTCTTCTCTAGCCTTTTACAACTAATCTCTATTTACAGAATATATCATCTGTAATTATATTTATTAACCCTGGAACTTTATGAAAAAAACACAAACACCAGGAAACACCCCCTAAAAAATGGACCAAAGCAAAGCAACATGCTCAGAATAAAACCACAAGGTCTTAACACATATGAAAAAAGGAAGAGCAATCATCAAGGGTGCTGCCTTTGGTCAACTGCTTTTGAATACTGGCAAATACAAATTTGTACCTACAGCACTTATTACCCTTCTTCATCTCCCAAACCACATTTCCACTCCACAAGTCATGAGCAAAAGGGAACCAATTTTATTTGATCTAAATAAAAAATAGGAAGTAATGAAACATTAAAGCCACAGACTTCAAACCCTACACATGTACTATAAAACATTACGTATACTAAAAACGTATTCTGCCTATCAGAATTTCATAATAAACTGCCATCAAGACTGCTTGTTCCCATGAATACCCCATCTATATTTTTCCCTTCAACTCTCAGCCTTCCAGTCACACAACATGCTCAGAAAGTTTTAGCAGCAGCCACACCATATCAGCTCCCTTTTCCCAACTTTCTCTCTAGCCAGCCAATCTTTACCTCTTTGCTTCTTCCAAATGACAAAGGTATTCATAAGCCACATTCTGACGTCTCCTTTCATCCATCTCCTCTGCAGTAAGTCTTTCATTATCCAGGACAGCTAAAACATGAAAGAAAGAATGTGAACACAGGGATCTGTAACCTTCCTGAGATAAAAATGCCACAGCATCAAGTTCCTGCTAGTCACCTAGAGGGCCAGGGTAACCGGTAGATGCGTGGATAACAAGGTATACTAAAATGACATTCCTAAAACAAGAACTTATCAAGTGTCTAATCTTACACTAATCTTAGTTTCCTCATAAAATACAAGAATATGAGCATAAACTTTAACGTGATGTTGAAAAATGCTGATGCTTGCTATTTGGGCCCAAATTCATGCTTATCTCCTAAACAGATATTGATTTGTCTTTGAAAATTCAGAGATGATCATTTGTACTTCATGAATAGTCAAGGCAGCAGTTATTAAAAACTATCAGCACTACACTAAATATTTTACATATATTCACTCATTGGAGTCACTCCACAATCCTATGGTTAACATTCCCAATTTCCAGATGAGGAAGTTAGCTGGGTGAACTCAGTCACTGGTTTAATAAGTGGTGGGGACCTGGATTCTTAAACATCATCTCCAAAATCTATGAGTTTTAGCAAAGCAATCACACACAGGAATACGAACACACAGGTATGGCATGACATTTAAGGCCTTTTCTCAGTATGGCCAACTAATTTTGGAAACTCTCTTCCCTCTCCATGCCCTGCCTCCCAGTACCCTACACTTCCTACCACTTAGTTCTCAGCCAGCAGTATCTAGAATGAACTTCAACACTTTAATTCTTAATTATTCTGTCATACCTCTTGCCTCATCTTACTGTCATACTTTCTCACACAGAATACTTGCAGGATCTGTTCAGATGTGTTCTTGCTGTCTTTCCAACAAAGTCCCTCCTCCTCCCAAACGTTACTGAAGATGACTGGTTTGTGCCCACATCTTTGCTTATTACCTCTTATTATCATTAAGCTGTACATCTGCTTCTCTGCTTAGAAAGTTCTTGAAGACAGGGCCTGTTCTCATCTTGAAAGTCTGTTTTAACTAATACCTCACACATAACTGATGATCAGTTGAACAGTGTCCCAAGAATACAAACTAAAATTGAAAACCTCCAGAGAGAGATCCAGAAGGACCCTCCTTTGGTCAGAGCTAACTATGCATCTGGAATTCAACAATGCGATGAGACCAAGGATAGACACAAAAGGGCAGGTTCAGAAAATAAGGAAGTTCTTTATAAAAAAAAACTTGATGAGGGAACTTAAAAAAAAAAAACAAAACCACCCAACAAAAACCCTGAAGTGACTTGTCCAAAGCCTCATCTACAAGCAGCCTTGGGCCGGGCAGGCCCGAACCCCAGTCTACCTCGCAAGCTCTCGGGGAACACATCCAGCGGGGAAGCACCTTCCCACGAGGCCCTGGCAAAGCCCCCGGCTCGCGGCCGGGGACACGCCCTGCACCGTCCTGCCACCTCACCCTAAACCGTCTCCCCCAATCTCGGCGGACTTGAGGAGAGGCGGCGATGGGTGGGGCCCCTCCAGCAGCAGAGCGCGGCTTAAGCACAGGGTTCGAGGGGGTCTTCCCCGCCTCCGCTCCTGAGCGGGAGGCAGACCCCGGGCCTCTCCAGGCGGCACCACTCCCGCCCGCAGCCCGGCCAGGTTGGCTCTTCCGGGTCCGTGCTGCCCGTACCCGCGCCGCCCCAACATGCCAACTGAACCCCAGAGGAAAGGGTGCCTCTTTCTCAATGAACCCTAAAACGATGCTTTCGCATCGCTGAGCCCCACACTCACATCCATAGTGTGGCCGGGCCACGCCCAGTCCGTCAACTTCGTCCGCGGCGGACATGGCGGCCAAGACCCGGTCTCTGGTAAGGAAGCGGTGAGACCTCGGAGTCGGAGGCAACAGTAGATCCTGCACAGTGTGCGCTCGTCTCGGCCTCTGCAAATCCCGCCCCACGCCGCCGTCTCCGCCCCAGCAGTCTCGCCCTGCGGTGCAGACAGGAGCTGGAGAAAGGTGGCGGGATCCGAGTTTAAGCCCCGTCCCCGACCTGCCCCATCCTTCAGAGCCCCGCCCCTCGCCGCCGGCCCCGCGCCAGCGGCCTCGCCCTGCTGCAGCTAGGACAGCTGGAGAAAGGGGGCGGAGTCCGCGCCCAAGTCCCTCTCCGTGCCCCACCCCAGGGACCTCGCCCAGCTGCGCGCACAGGAGCTGGAGAAAGCGGGCAGGGCCATAGCCCCAGTCCCGCCCCACGCCCCGCCTGGTCCTTCCGGTCCTAGCTCTGGCCTGTCGCTGCCGGGAGCCGACCGCCGAAAAGAGGTGGAGCCGCTGGGTTGTTTCGCGCTCCTCTCGGCTCTGCTAGTAGAACACTCGTCCCCCCACCTCCCAGCGCAGCCCAGTCAGTGCGAGCCTTCGCCACATCCGCAAGTCTGTCAAAAAAGCCATCTTAAAAAAAAAAAAAAAAAACCAACACAAAACTGTCTTAGTAGATAGCTTGAAATCAAAGCCCTAGGCCACCTCGCATCCTCTTGCCAGGCGAGCCTCGCGCCCTTGCACCAAGGGCTCAGCGAAGGCATTCATGGAAACATCCAAGATGATCTTTTAGGATACTGTCCTCACAAGTCTGCGTATAATCTGGCCTCAATTCTAATTTACCAACCTTCACCAGATTAAAACAACGTAACTCTCTAAGTATTTGAGATGCAGATGCTGAAGCAGGAAATTGTAACTGTCCAAAACCTTCCTTCCCAATTCGCTTATTCATCCTAATGGGCGTGGGGGAGGGGGTATGCGCTCTTAGAAGCGCCTCTTTTGCTTTGCTTCTGGAATACCGGTGTGTTCAATTAAATTCGGTCGTCAGCCCTCTGACTCCCCCCCCTCTTTGTCCACTCCAAGTAACTATCCATTCTCTCTTTGAACTGCTGAATATATATATCAACCAGACACACACACACCCCCCCACACACACACACCTCTGAAAGTCCTGTTCATTGTTTACCATTGTCTAGTGGACATTTTCACCAGTGGTTGCTGCAAAACTCAGAAAAGTAAACATATTGGGCCCAGTGATTCAGTAGATTGGGATACGTGGCATCACCACGTGTGGCTTTGCTCGATTCTCTTTGCCCTCCACCCGAAAGTTACTCATAGCTGACCCTCCCTTGGGTTCTTGAGGCTGTAATACTATGGGAGGAGATTGCTCCTTTTCCTCCAGCTGAGCCCGTATTGGATTCGAACCTGTAGAGAGGTCCAGCCTTTGAGTTATGAGTGCAACTCTCTACGGACTACGGCACAAATCTAGGCCACCAGACTTTTTAAAAGAGCCTACATCTCCTGCAGTTGGAATTTACTGGAGATACCGTGTAAAAAGGAGGAACATTCTTCTCCAGGTAGGATTTATAGCCTTAGAAATCCTACGGAGGGTCACTATGAGTCTGAAAGAACTCCATGTGGTGAGTTTTTTAATCTTACTGAAAGAAATCCTTGTGCCAAGATGGTTAAGGTCAGTAGTTTGAACCCACTAGCAATTTGCTCCCAAAAAAGATTACAACCTTAGACCCTGTACAGGGCAATTCTCCTCTTCATACAGGACCTATGTGAATTGGAATCAACTTGAGGGCAAAAGCTTTGATTTTTGTTTTGAGGTTTTTATTCCACAGCACCACTGAGTGAATTCAAACTTTTATTGTTACCTGAGCATAATAAGCCCTTTAAGCCGCCCAAGGGCCTTGTGAACTCTGCAGACACTTTCAACTTTGATTCTGCCCTTGCTCTATTTAATGATTCTCTACTAAGAACCCATTGCTGTGGAGTAGATTGTACTCCTAGGCCTACAGGACAGGATAGAACTACCCCATAAGGTTTCCAAAGCTATAATTTTCATGGAAGCAGACTCTTACTTCTTCTAATGCAAGGCAGTTTATAAGTTTAAACCTCCAATAAATTGGTGCCTGAATTTGAACCATCAAGTTTTCTATTAGCAGCTAAGCAGCTAGTTGAGTGTTTAGCCACTGCCTTAATAGAATTTCTCAATTTGCAGCTCAAATTGTTCAGGTTCCTTGTCTTACCCTTTATATCCAATAGATGTAATTTCTGAAATGTCGTGGGTTGTTGTGGTTTTTTTCCTCCATTCCTGCTGCGATTACACACGGAGCTTTGGAGGCCAAGTGCGTAAAGAGTTGCACAGGTGCTTTGAATCCACCAGCTGCTCTGAGGGAGAAAGATAGGCAAACTCCTTCTGTGCACTTTACAGCCTTTGAAAACCCACTGGAAGGTCAACTATGATTTTGTTGTTGTTGTTGTTAGGTGCTGATGAGTTGAGTACAACTCATAGGAACCATATAAACAATACATCTGAACTTTGTACCATTCTCATCATCTCTGACATACTTGAGACCATCGCAACAGTCACTGTGTCAATCTGACTTATTGGGGCTCTGCTTCCCTTTTGATGCCATCCACCTTTCCAAGCATGATGTCCCTTTGCAAGGAATAGCCTGTCCTAGCAACATCTTCAAAGTATGAGAGATGAAGCTTGACCATCTTTGCCTCCAAGGAACACTCTAGCTACACATTTTCCAAGATATACTTTTGCCAAGATTCAGTAATCTTCTCCAACACCACAGTTCAAAGGCATTAATTCTTCTTGTGTGATCTTAAGTCATTGTCCAGCTCCCAGATGTGTAGCAAGTAATTAAAAAGACCATGGCCTGAATCAGGCACACCTTACTCTTAAAACTGATATCATTGCTCCTCAGTATTTTGGAGAGGTCCCTGACAGTAGATTTGCCCAATGCAATATGTCTCCTGATCTCCTGGCTGTTGTTACCAGGGGCCTTGACTGTAGATCCAAGTAAGATGAAATTGTTGACAATTTCAATCTTTTCTTCATCTATCATGATGTTGCTTATTGTTCCAATGGTAAGGACCTTTGGGTTTGTTTGGGTTTTTTTTAGTTTTTTAAATTATTATT